CCGCCACCCTCCAAGTTCCTCTATCTCGACAAGCCGCTCCTGCATCCTCACCGAAACCCCCATGCACCCACCTTGGTCACATGGGGGGAACACATGGCCCAAACGAAATATAAGGCTCCTACAAAGGCCCCTGCTGGGAGTCTCTCACCAATCATAAAGGTGCTTCCGAAACTTTTATAAGTGCACTTCTTAAGCCATTGGTCGTGCCAGTAGCCTAATGCTTCCAAAAAAAAGGAATCAAAACACTCCACATAACCCCGCATAGAATTGGATAACCTTTACCTTCGCCATCCCTCCCCATAACTTCATACGCCTCCTGTGGGGCATCGGACTGGAGATTAAAATCCAAGCTACTGTGGGAGTTCTCTCTCTATCTCGCCATCCCGGTTGATTTCATTAAGATCTAGAGAGCAACCGGCAAATTCCACCGGATGACCTGCAAGGTGGCCCCTTTCCTTCGCGCAGCTTGGCGAACCGAACAACCTCCATGTTCAAAGACTTTATATAGATGGCGCATGGGACCAAATCAACTAAAGGCAAACAAAGACACATTCGACATGGTCAAGGGAAATGATCCATCACAAGCCCAGATCGCAAACACGGACACCGTGTTTAGGACTTGCTCGGTTCCCAGTTGCCCAAGTACCCAAGCCTACCCCCCCCGTGCGCGCACGCGCGCAGCAAATCCCACCCACAAAGCCTTTGCCCAAAGCTGACTGGAGGCTTTTGCTCAGACCCCCAAATGGGTTGATACTAGAATAGGGAGACCCCCCCAGGCAACGACCCCCTGGAAAAGGAATAGCCGAAAAACCCAAGCCCTTTGGTTGGGCCTGGTTGAAGCAACTAACCGCCAGGTCACAAGCGGCCCAGGTCCGCCTCGTCACTGCTCGTCTCCCAGGCAGCCACATGCTCTGCACGGGGTGCCGGGCCACTCTGGCTGAGGAGCTGCCAGGAGGAGCTCCCGAGGTGGAAAGACCAAAGATCGCCACAAAGACCTGGGAGGTTTCAGTGGGCTTCTTCTTTGGTGAGAAGAAGGGCACGGAAAGACTATGAAAGACTCAAAATTGAGCTTTTGCTGCTTTATGATGGCCATGGATGGTCGATGGTCCAAAGTCTTTCTCACATTCTCTTTTATAACCGAACTTCTTCCTTGAGCCTTCCTCAAACATCCACTGAGCCTTCCCATGAGCCGTGCCCCTTCACCCGGCCGAAGCGGCTGCCGTCATACCCACCATGGATCCAAAGGCTCTCCGTCTCCGGAACCCACGCCGCCGCGTGATACGCGCGCCCACTGGGCTGGGGCAGATCCCTCCGGACCATCGGACTGCGCCAGGCGGATGTGTTGGAGGAGGACGGGTCGAAGCTCCAGAGGTCGTGGTGGAGATCTGCATAGTCTCCAGAATATCCTTGATTTTTTTTTTTTGGGGGGGGGGGGCGGAGATGCACATCTTCTTGAGGAACCTGGTGGTCTTTTGAGTATATATGAGGAGATCGGCGATAGTTTGCCATGTCCCTTGTTGTGATGCTGGCTTCTGACCTATACAAGATCAAATCTTTAGGGCCAACCCCTCAAGATCTCATCACCCTCATCTTGCGCCCCTTTTCATGGCATTGATCTGTGCGGATATCTTTGGCGAGTCTGCGATTTGCCAGGTCCTGCCATTGGCAAAACATGGCAAAACTCGGATGTTCTCTCCTTTCTGGGAACCCGTACAGTACTCACATGTGACTGTCTGTCTACAAGTACCTCCTTCGATTCGCCCAGGCTCCACCGTGGATCCACAGCAAGTCATTCACATCATCCCAGATCGCCACATGCCCGCTGCGCGCTGCAGGGCGTCCAAGCGAAGAGGTCCAACGGGTCCAAGCTCCAGCGGAGAAGCGCCAAAGGTCCTGGGCCTCGTCAAATCTATCCATAGCCTTGTAGAATCGACTAGATGTTTTTGAGCTGTTTTTTGGATCCCAGTTCCCAGCCATAAAGAGAAAAACACGATCAAGGTCACATGCCAATGTTGATAAACGAAGCTCTCACCGAACAAATGAGATGGGCCTGACCAGCCGAACGGCTCCTAAACTGGCATGGGACATTCTCCAACTCCCAAAATCATTCCACACTTTTTCCAAGACCACGAAGACCACGTCCAACATGCATGATCATTGCCCAAACGACCTGGGATATTCAATGAGATTCATACTTGCTCATCTATATATAATATATAGAACATAAGCCATATCTCACCATGTCTTCACCTTGGTCCTCTCACCTCCAGCCAAGCACTCCCAGTACTCCCCAAGCCGAGCAGCAAAGCCGCCTTCCTCCGTGCGCCCGCCGTGCAGCCACAGGGCCGTGCCGCCCCACACTGCCGCGTGGTCTTCGCGCGGCGTCGGCCCCGCGTCGTTGGACAACTGAAGCCACAGGCCACCGGAATCGACGTTCCTCAAGAAAGACGAGGCCAAGTGGGAAGTCTCATCTTCTCTCTCTCTCTTTCTTTCTAGACACAGAGCGAGAGAGAGAGAGAGAGAAGAAAACGAGAGAGCCCTGCAGAGATTTCTTGCAAGTCCGGCGTTTCAAAGCCACTTTCTCTCTCTCTCTCTCTCTTTCTAGACACAGAGAGAGAGAGAGAGAGGGAGAGAGAGAGAAGAACAACAAGAGAGAGCCTGCGATTTCTTGGTACAAGTCCAGCGCTTCAAAGCCACTTCAACACCTCAAACCCATTGACACGCCAAGAACTTGGGGGAACATGTTTACGGACCTTCCTTACAGTCACAACTGGGAACTCCTCCTACGCAAGAAAAAAGACCTTCCACCACAAAGTGCAAGGGTTTCGTTCGTTTCAAGTTGCAACAGCCACAGAACCCAGATCCGATTTCATGCGGAAAGCCTAGGACCTGGATCAAAACTGTTTCTGTATACAACAACTTTCTTGACCTAAACCTCCACAAGAAGCATTTCCACCAGGCATGATGGTTCACGATGCTTGTGTGGAGAGGTCCCGACTTGACCTGAACATCTCTCATTGTTCGTATCCTTTCATCCGTGTCTGTCCCAGCAAACTGCATGTGCAGGTCTCAAAATCCACAGATCATCGAAGACCGCCTCCATGCTGGAGCCGCCATGCACCCAAAGCTGCCGGCTCGCCACATCCCATGCGCCCGCGTGCCACGAACGGGCGGCAGGTCGAGACGTGCTGTGGATGAGACTCCAAGACGCCTGGGCTTCCGGTACCGTTGGGTTTCAGTTGGGGGGGGCTCTGACGATGTGTTGGAACCGGGTTTTTGGCGGGCGACCTGGAGGCTCAAAAATTGGCCTGTCAACTTGATGAATAAATCTACCCTGGCCAAAATAATGACGGCTACGTGGATGGCACTGGCCCCGTAAGGATTACATACCATTTCCCTCATAACAAACAGGTGGTCAACTCCAAGTAATCGTCTGAGTCTGTGTGTGCCCTCGCCCGGTCTCGTCCCCCAAAAAGGTTGGCGATGAGTCGAGCTCATCATAAACACCAGCCGTCAGTATTGTCAGGCTGAGGGCAGTTTGATCGTCAGTATTGTCAGATATTGTCATGGCGCAGTATTGACCTGGTTGCTTGATTCATTGCTAGTGCTCTTTCTCAGGGCAAAAGCTCCTCTCAAAAACAACACAGAACTTCGCATGAATCCCACGTCAAAACGAAAGCTCTACTCTTCAGTGACCAGCTGAGTAGCTGAGGCCACGAGTGGCAGAACGGACAGGCACTTGAGGTGCTGCGACATGGCCCACGCACTGCAGACCATTGCCAGGGGAGCTGAGCTCCATGTTGATGGGCAAACTCTTTAAACGCAACCAACACGCAACACACGAACCGAGCTCCGGGGGAGTGTTTAGCTTTGGCATTGAAGAAGAACCATTCAAGGAATTAACAGGAGCTAGGAACAACCCCCTTCAGGGCAATTGTGCATGAAAAATAGGTATGGTCCTATCATGCATCCCTGATTTGTTCACCATCTGTGGGGCCCACGCTGGAGCTTCCAACTCTTCGCCAAAAGCTCTGCTGCATGCAAAAAAAATCGCCCATCAACCAGAGTGCGCTGCAAAAAGCGCTGCTGCCCTGGGCAGTTGAGCCATGAAACTGACCAAGCTGAAGCACTGAGGCTGAGGTGCTGCGGTGCTCAGCTCTTCGCTGGCTCGGCGATCCAAAACCGCAGGCTGCGCACCACTTGGCGCGTGCTGAGAATGCAAACCGCACGCGTATGCGTGCAACCAGTGGATGGGTGAAAGGTGGGCACCAAGGTGGGCACCCCATGCCTTGGGATGAACATCGGGGGGGACCGACCTCAGAACGATTGCCAGGTGAATCGCTATGGGTTCTGTCTGAGGTGAGGACGATGGGGGGTCCAGCCTCCGAATGACTTGGACCTGACGAAAAGGGACCCAGGGACCAGCTGACCGACCCCCTTTGGGTCATTGGTATTTCTCATATTGAGAATAAACACCACGAGTCCAGTGCAGGAACATTGGACCCAAGCGGTTTACCTGACTTCCAGGTCTGGGTGATGACCACTTGGAAGACTCTTGGGGGTCTCTTACTTGCATGTAGCCAGCATTTGTAGATGTCAACGAAGTAGCTGCAACTGAATAACCTCTCCAGCTGGAGACTGGAGATCGAAAGGTACCAATTGCCAACTTGTGATCACCAACCTGGAGTCACCTGTCGGGATGGTTTTAGTCCCAACCAGTGGGGGGATGTTCTGGGCACCCCGACTTCCTCCGTGGATACAGTAGCACCCTTTGTGACTGCTGGAACTTGTTGTTTCTTCCACCCTTCAGGCCCTCTTCGGCCCGCCGAATTGGGGTGTGTGACAGGGTGTCTAAATATGTCACCGAACAGAAGGTGAAGGGGTGTCCATTAACCACCCCCTTAATTAGGGGGCTCTGATAGCATGTGTCGTTGGCTTTTTCATGTTGCTTTGAGAGACCCTTCCAAGCGCGAGGCGTCCAAACGCGTGGGGCGTCAGTCCTGAGCTCGATCAAAGAGCAAGTCCAGGTGGGCCATGCATTCATCCGCCAGCCGCGCGTTCGCCACGTGACTCTCCGCGGGAGTGCTGACCATCCTCGGCGAATCGGCGTGACATCGGCGCAGGGATGCGATCCATGGGGCACCATTGCAGTTCCGGCAGTCGGGGTGCTATCCATGGAGGCAGTTGGGGTGACCCAACTCCTCCCACTCACTGGATGGGACTGGGAGCAGCACCTAACTCCATCACCATGCGACTCCTAGAGCTCTTGGTTTTTCTCCTCTGCGGTGCCCCCTCACTGAACCGACGCCCCGAGCGCCCCGACGACGTCCCGGTCCACGGTGACGTGGACCGACATCGGTCCGACGCGGGGACGACGTGAACCACGACGCAGAACGTCCATCGACGCTAATAAGGTGAAGGAAGAAAATGCCTCCCAAACTTCAGATACGAAGAGTGAACACCTGAGCAGGTATAGGGAATTACAGAGGTGGGTACTTATAGGGTCTGCAGGTGAGTAGGCAGGTCGGTATAGTATAGGGTCCACTAGGGTCTGCTTCTCTCCATCCACCTGCCCACCTGCCTGGCGCCCCCCTTCGGCCGAAGCGACGAGGAGGTACTCGGCGGCCTGTGAAGCTCCAGTGGCACTTCCACACCGCTCTCCACGTCCTTGGTTCGACCGCTCTCGCTTGGCTCGCTTGGCTCGAGTGACAAGGAGAAACGGCAAAAGCCACCGGTGGAAGGTTCATAGCAGCCTGCTGCACCGTGCGGCACAAGCTGTAGATCCCATGTTTTGGTGGATCTCCATGTTTGCACTACAAGTCTACGAGTCCACAAGTCCATTCTCCATGTTTGCACATCACATGTTTAAACAAAAAGTATAGGGGGTGGCCTAAGGGGACCCCCTCTCACAGCCCCCCCTGGAATAATAAAAATATTATCCTGACCACCATCCAGATAGATGCTGAATATTATCCCAGTAAAAAGTGTCTCGTAAAAATGCGATCTCATGTTCAAAGGACGGTCGACAGAAAAACCAAGCGAAGACGTTCGATCTGGCTCGAGCTCGCCAGGCTTCTCGCGATACCTGGCTCCTGCTTGATTCATCCTGGCTCCCTGTTTAACACAGAGTCCTGGAAATCGGAAAAATGTAGACTCTCCGCATCTCTCCGCTGTTGAAACATCTTTTATGACTCTCCGCCGTTTGGAGCACCGTTCGATCTGGATCCTCTGCGGGATCCACTCCCAACTTCCCCAACACATCCCCTTTTGCCCCGCTCCAAACAAACAACACGTCTGTTAAACCCGTTCAGTGGGGGGCCCTGAAGCTGAAGTAAGAAACTCCACCAGGCTTACGTTCTCGCCGGGTAGAAGATGTAATAGGATCAAGTTGATGATCTATACCACTCATAAGTCGGGAATTCCCTAACCTACTCACCTGCCGTCACCTGCCCTCACTCCTCATCCTCCAAGCATCTGTGAAGCTACTGACCGAAAACATGGAGACCCGTTGCGGCTCCAGCCGCGCCATGGCGGTCCAGGGTCTTTCTCTCGGACGAGCCACGACCGGGCGAGCACGAGCGGGCGAGCCACAGAAGCCACAGAAGCCAAATGGTTGGAGTGATGCTCAGTGAAGGGAGGGGAGCTGAAGACATGTGTCTTCGGTGTTCAGGGAGTGAAGAAGAGGCGAAGGAGGACCAAGAAATGGACGAATTGGGAGGTGAGGATGGGTTAGTCGCAGAAATTCTTTGGAGTCCAGAGATTGGACGTTTCGTTGACCTCTTCCAATCGTTGACGCGTTCACATCGTTTGGTGAACCGAACGAATGAGTCAGAGTGGGGTGTCCCGGGCCCCCGGTGTCTTCCCTGTCTCCGTCTCGGAACCTGCGGGTTGTCCACTGACATCCACTGACTGGGTAGGGCTTTAAACAAGTTGAATGCATTATTTTGGTGAGCTTGGATGTCCAGCTGATCTACCATCTGTTCATAGATTTCAGGTTGCTTCCCCAATCCTTCGTGGAACTTGCTGTACCTTGGTCACTCACAGGAGAAATCGCTAAATGATTGAGGAAACCACCAAAAAGCCGTGGAAACAAGCACTTGGATGTCATCAGCGATGTCTGGCAGCAACTGTCACTTTGAGAGTTCTATAGATGTCCAAGTTCTATAACCGAGACGCTCCATCGGACTGCCATATATATGATGCCTACATTGGCCCCCCCTGGCACCACCCCTGGCCTGATCGGCCGTCCGGACTGGCAGTCCCAGACAGGTCGCGTCTGGGTGATCATGGGCCAGAACAACAGTTACTAGTTCAACCTAAGGGTGCGAAGTCGCTACCCGGGAAGTCCTCCAGGCCCAGTCCCAACGTCAGATCTCCACCGGTCCCCAAAACCTTCGCCAGAAACACACGCGCAGCAGGTGTGATGCTTGCTAAGACTGTGTTGGTCCAATATTTACCAACCTTGGACCTCGGGGTAGTTTCAATGGGGTCAAATGTATTTTAAACATTCCCTATAGCGAGTCATAGAATATGGGATTTCCATCCAATTCCATCACATTGAGTCATGGACTCTGGGCTGATCTGGGGCCCCTCGATCTATCCACATCCGGCGTCCCTCTAAGAAGCCTCCCCCCCCGAACTGGGCATGGCGAAGAACTCATCGGCCGGGCTTCAGCGGTGAGGCGTTGACCTCTTCGATGGTGTGCTTCCTTGGGCCTATCCCATTACCAAGGGGCCCAGTGGATGATGGGACCGGGCCCAGTGGATGATGATGGGGCCTGGTTCAGTTCCAGGGCGATCTCTTAAGTAGTGATGTTCTTGTGTTTCGACTGTGACAGGTAATGGAACACCAATCGATTGTATGCGGAAGATCTTCTTCAGGGGTCTTGATTAACAACCTCAGTCTGAACGTGGTCAGCATCCAGCAGCTTCCTGGTTCTTCACCACATGTCGCCCGACGACACGCTTCGAGCCTCATTTCTTCTTTGGAGGCTCCTAGGAAGCTAGGCGAAAAGCCTCAAGGCACTCAAACGCTACTGTATACCCTGGGAGTTAAAGACTATAAAAAGAACGGTCTTTAGGTGACCCGAGTCCAGGACTATCCTTTATATCAGTCGGTCAAAATATAGTCGAACTGGACTTCTAGGGTATACGTTATCCCATTTTTCTTGGAATCCTATCGAGTGGCATCTCCCTTCTGACCAAGCTCCAAACAGCGAAACAACGCGGTGCCCAAGCCGCAAATAGACAGCCAACAGGGGATTCCACCCCTGAAAAACAGGTATTGAACAACTGTTATTGTAAAGGGTTCACGCCCACGCCCAACATAATGCTCCACAAATACACAGCCAACAGGGGTTCAACCCCCTTTCCAATATCTTCCAATGGTTTCTTGATTCGTGCTCAAGCGCCTCCAACCACCCGGTGCTTTGCCGACGCCTACTGACAAAACACACGCAAGACGCTCCGACGTTCGGAACGGCTCCTTGGGCGGCATGTGCGACATCATGAAGCCTCAGTGTTCTTGGGGGTCGTTGTCAGTCCTACGGTCCGTAGGACCGGTCCTCAGTTTGACCTCATGGTACTGGCAATGTGCTAGTCCTTTGGGACGTCCTTTGGGTCAAGAGACTTGTATATAAAACATGGATGGAGTGAGAGGTGAACATAAAGAACAGCCCGGGCACCCTGGTTGACTCGATTAACCGCTGAAAATAATTAAACATGAACAAGTGCCTTTTTGATCCTTTTTTATAAGGGATGTCAACCTCCCCTCCCATGGTTTGGTCGGGGAGGTTTGGACTCAAAGCCATGTGAACTGACCATCAACCTTTCGATATTCCTGCCAGTTTTGCGTCCAGCAAACTACAAAACCCCCATCTGCAAGAAACGTATTGAAATTAGAAAAGTTATCCCTGCTGCTGTAGTTTGGGGGCAAACGCACAAAACAACATGCTTTTTGAAAGGTTGGGATGACCTTCTTCTGCCAAGTCTTCAGATCAACAAACCACTATCCTGTGACGTCTCTTTTGTTCCGCAAGGCTACATATCAAGCAGTGGATGCTCAGTGATCAAAGTGTGAACTAGTGGCTTTTCTGCAGCAAGGTGCACCAACACCGTCATTCATTCCTTGGGTTTTGCGGAGCAGAGGGAGGAGCCAGAGTTGGAAAGAAAGAACCTTCAAGGGGGATCATTGTTGGGGTGGAGTCCGGGTGGGAGGGCTGGTGGGTTGGAATCCAGTTCAGAACTGCACCTTGCAGGGTTTGTACTCCGAGCCTTGGACCTTTGGACTTTGGATTTGGGGCGGTCAAGTCACCGGTCTCAACCGAGGTGCCGAAGTCGGTGGGCGCCGACTGGTCCATCCTCCGCGGCACGGGGATGCCGAACTGCGTCTCCTCGATCTCCTCCGCGCGAACGGCGTCGTCGGCGGTCGGTCTGCGGCGGCGAACAGCGACCGTCGAAGTCTCCAAGGACCGTTGTGACCCAAACGGTACGTATGGTCCCGGGATAGCCCGGAGAGCCATTCTTCATGGTGGAATCATGCTTGATCCGAAGTGGCCCTTTTTGGGAGATCGTTGTGACCCAAACGTGGGAAATCGGGTTGGGTTAGGCAAAGATGGCAAAGGTTGATGCAAGGAATGGCCATGTGACATCATGATCATATGAAATGAACTTGGGCTTAGCATTGCAGCCTTGTCAACCAATTTTCGAGTTGGTCAAGTGGTCGTTTCTAAAAATGAGCTGGATCATACCCTTAAGCAGCAGAGGATCCATTTGGCGCATGACATCAATTCAACTTTTGGAACATCTTGAAACGGTGAAACGCATGCAGTGTAGCATGCAGCACCTTTTGGCCGGTGAACCCCGCTCTTCAAATCGCTCTGCGCTAGCCACCTGTATCCCGACAACTCTCGGCCACCAAACACTGCGTGTTCTTCTTCAAGCTTTAGACAGCAGGTCGTAGGTCGAAGGTCGGCCGCCATCTGTCTGGATTCCGGGAAGGCCCAAGGCTTGGCACCACGTGAAACGCCCAGTCTTCCCTTCCGGTCTGGGCGTGCTCCTGGAAACCGTGATGGACCGGGACCTCCAACTCTGACAGCGCAGAAACCGGGTCAGCACCGAAAAAAAACGAAGGTCACAGCCTGTAAAGGAGAAGGTCCCGAAGCAACAAGAAAACAAGGTCTCCAAACAGGTCACCAAAGTGTCCACGTTCATCGACCTGTTTGGCGACCTCCTTGGTGTTTGGAGACCTCCGAGGTCTAAGGAGGTCTCCAAATCCAAAGAACGTCCGAGAAGTGAACGGCGTTTCGACTCCTGGATTTCGCCAATGTCCACGTTCATCGACCTCGATGGAAGAACGGCGGTGTGACTGGACGGTGCCATGACTGGGGGAGGAAGACTGCCGGACTGGACGGATTTCCAAAGCCAAAAGTGATTCTTCAATTAATGGATCTTCCTATATGCGGGTGGTATGGGTTGAAATCCTTCACCAAATGCACAGTGTCATATGGTGCCCTGTCAGAACTGATGTGGCAGCTGTTTGTTTGGGCCGGGTCATGCTTGGGAGCAAAAGTAGGGAACGCCGAGCATCCACATGAAAAACATCCAAGCGCCGGAACACTGAAACCTCTTGGTCAACTTGGCATCTCAAAAAAACTGAAGACCACTGACTGAACCCCCCAAAGAAATCCAAAGAACTCAAGAACACCTCCAATGGATCTGCAGGACTGTGGGAATGTTAATCATGTGTTTTGGCCCATGATGTTGGTTTGTGCTGGTCACCATCCCTCCAATGATTACTCCTTTTCTCTAGACTAGAGATCGTTGTAAACACAACACGGATTCCAAACTTTTATGGGCACCTTAAATCAGTACTATTCAGTACTTCAATGTATTTCAGTATTTCAATTTATTTCCATGCCCCTCCTAACTTGATCTCCCTCCCAAAAGGGAACGGGAATCTCCTTGCCCTCTTCTCACCCTTTATCCAAGAAACCAACTGCCCGTCTAAGACGGTGCGAATCACCTGTGCGCATCGCCCGCCGCCCGCCACCAACCGACCCCAGCTTCGTCGCAACCTCTTGCAGCTTGGACACACAAAATCCCCTTCCGTGACCACCTCAGCCACGTCGCCACTCACGGTGACCACGCGCGCCTGGGACACACTCGTGGAGGCCGTCCGGTGGGACAGGGGGGCCTTGCAGGTTCCGTCCGATCTCCGCATGACTTGCGCCGCGTTCGGTCTCAAGCAGATCACCACTTCTATGCTAACCCTGGGAGTCAAAGACTATAAAAAGAACGGTCTTTAGGTGACCCGAGTCTAGGAATATCCTTTACATGAGTCGGTCAAAATATAGTCTTTGGACTTCTAGGGCTAAGTGTCTCTAAAGGAGCTCAAACAAGTGACCCCCCACTGTTCTGACTCCGCATGTCCCAAAAAGCCGCACCATGGGCGCATGGCGGTTTTGGTAGCTGCATGTGTTGGTGACACCAAAGGGTGCCATGAGTTCCCCTCCGTCCAGATCTGCGCCCAAATGGCAACATCTCTCACAGCCCACACCCAAACTCCGCAAAAGCTTTTGCCCCTGGGATATGAACGAGGATCCGAAAACGGACCATGTAGGACGAATCTCTGGCGATCTCGTCGCCAGTGGGTTCAGCATCCAGTCGGTGGCTTGGTAGGTTGGACCTCCCAAGAACGTCCTGAGCCACATCGACCAGCGGTTCTTTTCCCGAGCGCCTTCTTCTTGTCTTGCGGGCCTAGCTGGAAAACGGCAACGGCTTCTCTGTGGTATCTGTCAAAGGCAAACCGAATCACCCCCGCAAAGGTGTGGTGCTACAAAAAGAATAGAGCTCCCCCATCTTTGACATTCTTTGACACGTTCTCATGACGTCCGCAGCATCCTACAACATGACAAAAGTCTCCCAGGTGGAAAAGACACCACTTCCCAAATCAACTGCTCAGTCTGGCATTGGCTCTGGCACCCATCTATGTCT